CTTGGACGAATGGCATAACAAGAAATGCAGAGGATCCAAAAAGTGGGCCATGTTTAGAATGTAACTCTAGTTCCTGGATTCTACCTCCCTTTCACCAAAATTTTTAACCCAAATCTGCATTTGTACACAAGTCCTTGTTTCTTGTTTGTACCTGGAGACTCAGTAGGATCTGGCATTCCCAACCTAAAACATCAAATGAGTAGACCTCAACCAGGTTGTAAAATGCCCTTAGTTGTGGTGACTTGTGTCTAAGAACCTAGAAAGTTTGATCAGAGTCACATGTTACGAATAGTTTTCTGGGGCTGGCACTGTGGTGTAAAGGGGAAAGCCGCCACCTGCAGTGCCGGAATCCCATATGGGCACTGTTTCGAGACCCGGCTGCTCCACTTCTGATCCAGCTCTCTGCTATGATCTGGGAAAGCAGTGGAAGATGGCCCAAGTCCTTGTGCCCCTGCACCCACATGGGAGACCCGGAAGAAACTCCCGGCTTTGGATTGGCGCAGCTCTGGTCGTTGCAGCCAATTGAGGAGTGAACCAGTGGATGGAAGATTTTTCTCTGCTTCTCCTTCTCTCTGTGGTAACTCTGTCTTTCAAATAAATTAATTCATCTTAAAAAAAAAAAAAAAAGATTTGTTTTCTTCCAGTAAGCTTCTTTAAAAACTCAAAGCAATTCTGTTAAAGAATCCATTAAATAAATAATTGTTATTGTTGAGGACTTTTTTAGGCAGCATGGATTAAGCCAATGCAAACATAAATGAAGGATGAGGAAGAAGAGTCATTTTTATTTTATGAACATAGGACATAGATGAGAAAATGGCATTATAGTTGGTGATAAAATATATACTTCAGATATGTGGGAAGTCACTATAAGAGATTATATCTTCTGTAGGTACAAAGTGATTTATACCAGAGCACAAGAGGGAAGCGAGAAAAGATAGTGCTCATGGCTATTAATTCCTGTGGAACACAGATTGGGAAATTAGTTTTTAAAAGATAGTCTTTCAAAATAATTGACGCTCAGAACTTCTAAAAGATATCTGTTCCTTTGGAAAAGAACAGTCCAATGTTTCCATTGGTATAAACACAGGTAAAGATGGTTCAAGGGTAGGATTATCCAAAATATTTTGCATCACAATAGCACCACCATGTGGACTACTGTCTCCCTCATTCCAGAGGGAGGGGGCTATTTGATAGGAAAAGGATTTCTATAACTCAAAAACAAAATTATCTAAATATTTTTTAAATAGAAAAAGCCTGGGATGGTGTTGTGGTCAGGGATGTAATTAATTTACAATGAAGCCCTTGAACTACAGCAGCAGTACCAGATAGTATGGTGCTACATTGCAGATTCAGTATTTGCATCTGTGGTTTCTGGTTAGTATGAGGCAAAAATGCACTGTTATTAAAGTTACTTTGATAGAATTTAGCTATTTTTGTAATTTCTCTCCCAAATTTCCCTTAGTATGTCACCAACTAAAATCATTTTGGAATTTGAACAAAAGACAAAAACACATCTCAAAAAATTAGCCTATAATTCACATTAGCTTATGTTACATATTACTGGAAGGATGTATTTCATTAAAGCATGAAAGATAGTTTTTAATTCAACATGCCCACAGTTTCAAGCAACACTTTGATATAGAATAAAGACAACCTGAGAAAAGTCAGTTGACAAAGTTTTTTTTAAGAGAATAACCAAACACAGTATCTTCTCCTCTATTCATATGTGATGCTGCATTGTTACTGTGCAAACTTTTTCTTTTCTTTTTTCAAATTTTATTTAAGGTATATAAATTTCATGTATACTGGTTTAGGAACATAGTGATACTTTCCCATCTTAACCTCCCTCCTGCCCACACTCCCACCCTTCCTCTCCTAATCACTCAATTTTTACAATGATCTACTTTCGATTTACTTTATATTCATGAGATTAACTCTACACTAAGTAAATAGTTCCACAAACAGTAAGAAGGAAAATAGAAACAGAACACTGTTCAGGGCTGTAAATAATCACTGAAGCTCAAAATGTCAATTTCAAGAAATACAAAAGTCTAAATGCTTACAACTGTGAAAATGTTCTTCAAAAAGGTACCATTGAATAAGAAAACACAATCAAAAATAAAACCAGAACTGCAATGCCACAGTGTCAATGGATACCACACAGACTGAAAACCACAGTGATGATTGGCCAACCTATTTTGGCCAGAAAGTGGAGGAAATTAAGAATTTCATGGAGAAGTCACATTCCAAAAAAGATCCAAAGAAATGACAAACCACTCCATTGAGTTCAAGGTTCCACCAACTATCCTTTCACTTTTATATTACCTTTGTGAAGTTTATTAATGGTAATAAAGAGATTGTGGAGAGTTTCAAGGCTTTCTTTTCCCCTCTTTCAATAATTTCATGGAAGCTACCTGAACTGCTTAGTGTTATTAACAAAAAAATAAATAAATATGTAAATATACAAGATAAAAAGGTGAGCATCTAAAAAGAGTTCTCCCTCAATGAGGAAGTCCAAATGTTTAAAATAAAGTTATCTACTAACCAAACACATCAATACATATATTTAACTTAAGATCTCAAAAACAGATAAAGATTTTCATCACTTCAGTGTTAATATTTCCTACTTTTCTTCTCAAACAACTACCATTCAAGGCTCTGAATACAAAGGGTATGTTTGTTATTTGAGAATAGAAATCTCCTAACAGGGTACATTTGACAATAATGATGACCTTGATAAGGGAAAAAGAAGGAAAATTCAAGATGACAAATACTAGGGAAAGTCTCCAGATTAGTTTGCTAGTATGAGACCAAACTTCACAAAATCAAGTTCATTAATACTAAGACTCTAATTTTCACAGAGTAATTCTTGAGGTAGGAGACTTGGAATCACCTATGATTTTAAATATGCAGCTAATTGGACCTCTGAACACTTTTCTTGTGCCTGAGGGTTCCTAAATTGCCATTGTAAAGCATTCTCAGGCACTAAAATTTGAGCAAAGGTGTTCTATATCTTGAGATTAAAGAGTTTATTTGAAAGTCAATAACCACAAATGAGAGCTGTTTATTTGCTTGGGATTCTCAAGTCTTTTCAAAGAGTATACTAAGCAAAGATCTGCCCTGCCAAACCTGCTCTTGCAGATCAAAGATAGGGCTGAATCCTGCTGAAGGTAGTCCACATTCTACACACACACACACATACACAGAGAGGCACATGCACACCCACACTCAGATTTTGGCCTAATTCTCCTTATGGAGAGTTCATGTTCCAAATCTAGTGCTACTGTCTCACTTTTTAAGTTGTCATCTCTCTATAACCTCTACACTTCGTAACACAGACTTTGGTCACTCAGTATCTACCCAACAACTGCACTAAATATTGATTTCTTTTAATCCAGGGCAATTTTACCTTCAAGTTGCCCTGTGAGAAAGCACACATGAGTGGGAAGGTCTCTTGTACAAAGAGAGATTTAGGTCCAGACTGGAAGTTACAAATGTACTGGGTGGGGGTGGGGGGTCAAAGAAAAGAATGCAAAGGGAAGACCCAGCAGCACCAGATTCTACTAGTTGCAGAGTTGCAGCTGATGTGAAGGATCCTTTGGGAGGAGAGATGGCAATGTTTTCTGTTAGGCCAGATCTTGGAACTTGTTTCCCTCTGCTTTACAGGACACTCTGGAATCTATAGCACCCACATAGGAGGAAGTAGATAAATCACCCAACATGATTCTACTCCCACAAATGAGACTGGAGATGAACTGGAACAGCAGGCTCTCGGTGGAGCCAAGTGTTGCAAGTTTTGAATACTAACTGGTTCATTTATTTCACTGATTACCATATGTAGCTATGGAGTCCCAGGCACTGATTTTTAATAAACCACTCTCTTAAAACTAACATGCCTTTCTGTTTTTATTTTGCACATGTAATCTTACCAATTCAGTTTTGATACTGATTTTGAACTTTTCTCCATGTTTTGAAAGAACACTGTGTGCCAAGAAGCATCAAGGACCATTTCTATCACCTCATGCAATTCCTGTTGTTAGCTAATGTGCAAGACTAGAGATCAATGACACACACCATATACAAATCTTAACTACAAAGAATTGCACCCAAGATATTAGTTCAGTCTTTCCCCAAATTATTGCTCAATGGAAAAAGGCTAAACATTCACATCAAAACTTCAGGCAAAGCTGGAAACAGCAAAGTCTCTCATCAACCCTGCACATTGTAAAAGTGCTTCATTCACAGGTTTTTGTTTTATTTTGTTTTGTTTTTTCAAATGGGCAGCATGGGAGAAAGAAGGAAGGAAGGGAGGGAGGAAGGAAGGGAGGGAGGGAGGGAGGGAGGGAGGAGGAACGGAGGGTGGGAAAAAGATATGTAGGTAGGTTGGGAGGAAAGGGAATGAAGGCAGGAAGGGGAAGTATGTGGAGGGGGGAAGACAGGAGAGAGAGAGAGAGAAAAAAAAACACAGTACAGTGTCCTTGATATCCTGCACTTTAAAATTGAAGGGAGACACACCCCTCCCCTGCTTTACATAAAATGGAACAAGCCAAGTCGCCAGGCAGCACATCTGAATATTAAGAAAACTTGCATGGGGAAAACTTTTAGGGAAAAAATGAAGGTGATTTCTGAGCTTCTATCACGGTTATATCTGACACTGACATTTATTTCCCATGATTCTTGCCCACAGGAAACACATCTTATAAGAAACTGAATAAAATCAAGTAGGGCATTCTCAAAATCTCAAGGTATCAACTTCCCCAGGAAGCTCACATTCACCCAACGCGACCATACACGGAGGAAGCCAGGCATTCAGGCGAGGAGCGGTGGAAGGCAGTCCACCTTGAGGGTGCCGGTGGATTTCCTTATTCCTGAGCCTGAATCCAAAAGCAAGGGAGTGTGATGAGAAATGAGGGGGAGAAGAATGTCTGGGCTCTGTGAAACCAGACACCCGTTTGGAATCTGGGCTGAGCAGACAGTCGGGATCCCACCCCCTTGCCTACCTCCAGGCTCCAGGAAGCAGCCGCGGGCGTCCTCGCCTCTGCTCTTCCGCAGCAGCGGGCGCACGGATCCGAGCAGCCCGGAGCTTAGGTCCCGCAGAGCGCTCCTGCCAAGCGCTTCGCTCTCCACTAGTTACCAATTGAGAAAAAGGGACTGAGACGCGCAACCAAGCTAGTGATTAAAATCCAGGGTCTGGCACCAACGTCCCAGAAGGTTTCGGCTTCTCTTCTGCGCCCTTACCCAGCTCTTCCGCCTGGCAAACGGGTCACCCAGGGAGCCCCCGGCAGCAGCTCCTTCCCTTCCGATCGCGCCGGTCTCCGCCGCCACCACTGCCACGCTGCGCGCCCCGCTATCCACTCACCGCAAAGCGAGGAGGCCCCACGGAGATAGCGCGAGCGAGGAGGATGTATTAAAAGCATAGATTTCTCGGATAAGAGAGAAAAACTTTGATGCTGTAATCGCACCCAGAGGAATGAGAAGAAACCAAAACAAGTTGCAGGTGCCAGGAGGATGCTTTCACCACCTCTGAGAAAAACCGCCCCCCCTGCACACACACACACACGCCACCAGCATCAGGGAGAGGAAGCTCCCGGCTCCTTGCGTGATCCCCGAGCGCACCTCGCGATCTCTGATCTTCGACTCCACCGGAACAGCACCAGGCACGGGGAGTCCTGTTGGTTCAGACCCGGGATGCCAGCACCAGATGCGCCTCCCGCTAGAGAGGCTGGCGGGGACGCGGTGCAAAGAGGACAGGGACAAACGCCGCGCCAGCAAGAGCGGGGAGTCGGAGCTGCCACCTACGAGAGCAGAGATGCGTCTCCCTTCGGGCAAAGTGACTGCTACAAAGTGTGTTCCCTCCTGCGCAGGGACAGACACGTTTAAAGGCCTGAACAAACGTCAGCACGAGGCGAGCTCGAGGGGTGAGCGCCAGGTCTCTCTGCCCCACGGGTTGTAGCGCGTGTAGGGCTCGCGCTATCGAGTGGCTGACTTGGGGGAGAAGACAGCGCTGGTGGCGCTGCGGAGTGTCGAACCCACAAGCCTATTATCCGAGTTGGGGTGCCCGTGGCATTTCTGCCGCGGGTGCATTTACAGAATTCAGCACAACTGCAGCTGCATGGAGAGACGTCTGGGCACCCTGCGCGCGCGCCCAGCATTGGGACACCAAGGCGCTCAACACCTGTCCCCCCCCCCCCCCCCCGGGAATCCACTTTATTCCTTCGCTGTTATTTGATCATCATTCTGATTCATTTCGCAAAGTTAGTGGATAGCCACCGAAACGTCTTGTACATCAAAGGGGTTAGACTTTCCAATCTTGTAATTACAATTATTACTTAATCTTCCCTTAACCGCACTGCCTACCCCCTAAGGGTCATAATAAATGGAAGCACTCCACGTGTCCACTTGTCCCTGAACCTTTTATTCTAACGTGATTTTCAAACTTCCTCTTTGGTAAGTGAAGAGCATTTGCAGAGGGAAGTAATATTTTTTATAGTATAGCACCTAACTCTAAGCGGCAGTTCTTAGGGATTTTGTAATTATTTCCAGGTTGGCATTGAAGAATTAAGTTCCCAAACGCACAGAGACAGTAAGAGAATTTTTTTTTTTCCCACTGTGTAAAATGATCAATTCTATTCCCAAATGATTTTTACAGTTTTACCAGCACAATGATGCATCAGGTGTACTTTTAAAGATACAGAATCAGATTAAATAGAGGCAAAAAATTAGGGATTCAGAAAACAGGAGTCAGGTTTCAGGGGTGCTTTCCGGACAACTTTTTTTCAGGAAAAGGAAAAAAAAAAGTAGGGACATGAACTCTTCGAGAGAGAGAGAGAGAGAGAGAGAGAAAGAGAGAGAAAGAAAGGAAATCTTAAGCTCACTTAGGAGCCCGGACTCTGTGCTGGGCACTTCGAGACCTGCAGGGTGGAAAGTAGTTCAGAAGCGGAAGGGGAAGAACCGAGAGCCCTAAAGATCAAAGGAATCTGTGGATGAGGAGGCCAGATACCACGGGGCTTCCTTTTCCTATTGTGTAGTTCCAACCTAACCAGGACACAGCCCCCTTGATTTCAGTCACTTGAAGCCTTTTAAAACGACAAAGACAAATTCCGCCAGAGAGCAGGCTCTACGGCGGCTCCCTTCCGCACGAGGGCCCAGCCGCCCTCCCTCTAGCGGCGGCCCGGGGAAAAGCCTTCGGGTTCCGTGCGGGCACGCTGGGGAGGGTGTGCACCGCGCGCCTCTGCGCTGCGAAGGTCGGGCACCAGGAACCCACCGAGAGCAGCTTGCTGGCTCTGCTGCCTAGTCCCCTCCGCCTCCCAGCTAGGGCCATCCACCTGAAGCGGGTCTGACCAAACTTCACGGACAGGTAGCCCTGCAAGAGCTTTGGAAACTGGCAGCGGCGACGGCAGTTTTTGCTTTTCGTGGTGAAATACACGCATGGATCAGGAAAAGTTGGGAGTGGGGGAGGGAAGCAGAGCATTGAGGGGTTTTAGAAAAGAAATCAGTACAAGGTCAACTTTAATTGCCCTTCCTATAAACAGGTTCCCAGCGAAGCTAAGAAATCAGGAAACGCGGTTAGTCTGTTTTGTCGGCTCCTACACTCGCCGACCCAAGCTAGGTGCCGTGTTTTCCAAGCCTAGCGCTCCCTCAACCTGCTCTCGGGCTACAAGCAATGAAAAACCAGAGCCTGCAGGATTCCCCTGGACCTGCGGCCTCACTCGCCCCACCTCCACCCCCATCTTCACGCTTTTGAGCATCTCCCGAGAACGTAGTGGGGGAATCTAGCTTTATTCCTGAGTCAGCGTCTAGGTGCGTTATGACAGGAGACGGAGAATTTAAATGGAGACGAGATCTAGGTTGCAACGTGGGGGCGCTCCTCCTCCGGCGGGGCGAAGCAGCAGGGGATGGTTCGCGCCCGGTGCCTCGGGCACTAAGGGAACTAGAGAAGGAAGCTTGGTTCAGCGCCAGGAGGAGGTACCCAAAACCCCTGGGGACCAGATAGTCACCAGCGGCCTTTGCACAGTGGGCACGGCCCCGCCCCTTGACCCGAGGTGACTCCACCCTTACCCTCAGGGTCAGGAAACCTGGGTTTGAGATGAGCCCTGGACCCGCTTTTTCCTCTAGGAAAGGACGAATCGCTCCTGGGAAGATGTCTAACCTAAAATGTTGCCCTCACGTTGGCTGTGACACCCACCCCGCCCCACCCAGCTGCTGAGCGCTCTGGGCCAAAGGTGGTCTTATCACCAACCCCAGGGCAGAGACACGCGCCTCGGGAGCGTCAACGACCAGGAGTCCTGGAATAGTTTTTCTTGGCCAAGGGCAGCTTCCGCAGCGGGACAGAACGGGTCTTCCACCCGAGAGCGAACCCGAAGCGCTGGGCGGGCGGGGCGGTCAGCCCCGGGCCGGGCCGAGGGCGCCCCGCGCCGTGCTCCCGGGCGCGCCAGGAACTGCAGCAGGCGCGCCTCGCCAGCCTGGCGCGCAGCCCTCCCGGGCTCCGCGGGGAACGATAGAGGCGCGCGTCTGGAGCTGCAGGAGCAGGGCGCGCCGGCGGTGCAGGGTTTCCCCAGGCCCGAGTTCTTTTCCCCTACACTGACTCTCGGCGCCCCAGCAGACTCCGCGGCTCCTGCTGGCTGAGCGCCGACACAGGCCGCCTTAGAGAGATGGCACAGCAGGATGGGCGGTAACTTGTTCCACAGAAGCAAAAACTGACAGTGCAGCGCTCAAAGGATCACATTTCCAAATGTGCCAGGAAGCTAACTTTCTCATGAGTATGCTCAGAAGGGTCAACTCCCACCGAGTTTGCCATCAGAGCAAAATTGCTCTACCTGGCTTAAACATACTCTGAGTTCACTTTATTCTGTGCTTTGACATGTTAGACAAGGTTTTATTTACTATTAGACTAACAGTCGTTTTGGCTTCTACAGATACTGTACAACTTTATTTTCTATCCTTTAATAGTGAATACTTCAGTATGTTACATACAAGAAAGTTACATATTAATAATCATTGTTTATGTCGCCACGCTATACATGGCAATTGAATGTTTATTTATTGTAATATAATTTTGAATTAAAAGTCATAATACAAAGCATTTTCTCAGATCTAGAATGAATTCGCCTGTAATAGTAAACTAAAATATTTTTCAAGTATTCATGCAGATATTTTATTTCTATTAATATTTTAAGAGATTTAATTAAAACTCTTGGGCATCCAAAATGCTACAAGTAATCCTCAAGCACATTATTGCGGAAGGTGAGGAATTTTACTAAAAAATATTTGGGGAAATATTCGGTAACCAAATACTTGCTCTAATTCTATGTCATTTGGGGGAGTCAATATTTAATGAAATTAACATTAATTTTTAAAACTGTAAATGTGATTAAAAATGGAATTTACCTTCTTAACCTTTTTAAAGCCTAAAACCTTTTTTAAAGTTCTGTAGTACTGAGTATATTCACCCTGTTGTGCAAAAGATGCATTTTTTCATCTTTCCAAAACTGAATATCTGTGTATTCCATCAACTTGCACACTCCATCCACTCCTAGGAACTGCCATTCTATTTTCTTCTTTAAATAAATATCTCATGTAATTGGATTCACACCATATATGTGCTGTTTTTTTTTTTACTTATTTTACCTAGTATAATGTCTTCAGGATTCTTCCATGTTATGGTATATGACATTATTTCAAAGCTGAAGGGATTTGATTGTATTTGTATTCCACATTTTATTTATCCATTAATGCATGTGAGGTTGCTTTGGGTTGCTTTCACCTCTTGGTTCTTGTCATTGCTGCTAAGGATATGGATGTAACAATATCACTTGGAGATTCTGTGGTCAGTTCGGTTGAATATATCCTCAGAATTTGGATTGCTAAGCACGTGGTGTTATGGACAGCACGCTTGTGTTTCCTCGAAGTTCAGACATGGAAGCTCTAATTCTCAGTGTGTCACAAGGGAGCAATCTAAAAGTTAAATGGTAGCATGGGGTTTGGGTCCTAAATCCACAGGATGAGTGTTCTTACAAGATACTGCAGGGAACTCCTGCACTCTTTCTGCACCAGCACAGAGAGCCATGTGGGGTCACAAGGAGAAGGCTGCTGTCTGCAAGACAGGAAGAGAACTTTCATAAGGTGTGCAGTCAGCAGGCATCTTGACTTTGGCCTTCTCAGCCCCCAGATCTGAGGAAAGTAGACCTTGTTTAAGTTGCCCAAGTCTGTAGCATCATATTAGTGCAGCTCAAGCCAACTAGTACTTACAGTAATTCAATCATTAGATTTCATAAAACTATGCTGTGTTTCATAGCAGCTGCAGATTTTATAATCCTGCTCAGAGTGCAAAAACATTCCAATTTTTCCACATCCTCACCAACTCTTAGATTTTTTTTGATGTTTTGATAATAGCCTGAAGGACATGAGGTAATATCTCTTTGTGGTTTTGATTTGCATTTTCCTGATTAATGATGTTGAGCATGTTTTCATCATTCTTTCCATTTTTTTAACCTTTATTTGAAAGACAGGGACATACACACACACACACACACACAGAGAGAGAGAGAGAGAGAGAGAGAGAGAGAAGACATACAGAAAGAATGAGCACTTCCATTTACCGGTTCTTTCTCCACATCCTTGCAATATTCAGAGCTGGGCCAGGCTGCAGCCAGGAGGCTGGAACTTAACTCTGGTTTCCCATGTGGGAGGCAGGGATCCAACACTTCATCTATCACCTGCCTCCTCCTAGAGTGTGCATTAGGAGCAAGCTGGAATCAGAAGGAGACTGGAACGCAAACCTAAGGACTCTAATGCAGGATGTGAGTGTCCCGAGCAGTGTCAACCATGCTACCAGATGTCAGTCCCTTTTTAGGTTCCTGTTGGCTGTTTTTCCTTTAACTCTGGAGGAGCATCTATTCAATTCCTTGACCCATTTTTTTTTCATTATTATTAAACAGAGTTAGACAGTGAGAGAGAGAAAAGGTCTTCCTTCCATTGGTTCACCCCCCAAATGGCCGCTA